CTTGGACTCACAAGTGACTCTCCTGCCTCAGACTCCCAAGTAGCTGGGACCACAGGTACTGCCACAATGCCTCGCTTTTTTTTTTTTTTTTGCGGTTGTCATTGTTGTATTGTTGTTTTAGCTGGCCCGGGCTGGATTCAAACCCACCAGCCTCAGTGTATGTGGCCAGCACCCTACTCACTGAGCCACCAGCACAGCCCAAAATCTGGTTTTCTTTTTTTTTTTTGAGACAGAGTCTCACTATGTCACCCTCAGTAGAGTGCTATGTAGTCACAGCTCACAGCAACCTCCCACTTTTGGACTTAAGCAATTCTCCTGCCTCAGCCTCCCAAGTACCTGGGACTATAGGTGCCCGCCACAACACCTGACTGTTCTTTTGTTGTAGTTGTCATTGTTGTTTGGCAGGTCTGGGCCAGCTTCGAATCCTCCAGCCTTGGTGTATGTGGCTGGTGCCCTAGCTGCTGAGCTACAGGCACCGAGCCTTCTCACCTGTCTTATTTATCACCAGAACCTACTACTTAGTGCTCCCTAAATATCTCTATGAGTGAATGGACAGAGTAGGTTCAGAGAGACTACTAAATGTCCCTTTTTTTTTTTTTGAGACAGTCTCTTTATGTCACTCTTGGTAGAGTGCCATAGTGTCACAGCTCACAGCAACCTTAAACTCTTGGGTTTAAGCAATTCTCTTGCCTTAGCTTCCCAAGTAGCTAGGACTACAGTGATCTTGGTCTTGTTTCACACTGTGCCTCCAATGCCAAGCACATACAACATGGCTGAATGACCAGTAAGGCTAAATATAAATGACAGAAACTTTTGGAAAGGCAGGGAATAAAGCAGTGGTTCTCAACCTTTTTTTTTTTTTTTTCTTTTAGAGACAGAGTTTCACTTTGTCACCCTCAGTAGAGTGCCATAGCATCACAGCTCACAGCAATGTCCAGCTCTTGGGCTTAGGCGATTCCCTTGCGTCAGCCTCTTGAGTAGCTGGGACTACAGGTGCCTGCCACAGCGCCTGGCTATTTTTTTGTTGTAGTTTGGCCGGGGCTGGGTTTAGAACCCGCCACCTGGGTATATGGGGGCGGCGCCCTGCCCACTGAGTCACAGGCACCTCCCAGTTTCTCAACCTTCCTAATGCTGCAGTCCTTTAATACAGTTCCTGTGGGTCTCGCCCCACAGGTTGAGAACTGTTGAATAGAGCAAACGAACACACACAGTAACTGGCAAAATCTAAAAAAGCTGTGTAGATTAGAACAATGTCAATTTTCTGCTTTCGATTTTGTGGTATAATTAATGTTAATGAGCAAAATGTAAGTGTAATACTGGGGAGGCTGGGCAAGGGTTACAAGGGACTCTACCCCTGCTCTGTTCATTTCTTTGCACTTGCCTATGAAGTTATAATTATTCCCAAAGAAAAAGTTAAATAAAAACCCCAACCTTGGGCAGCACCTGTGGCTCAGTGAGTAGGGTGCCAGCCCCACATACTGAGGGTGGTGGGTTCGAACCTAGCCCTGGCCAAACTGCAACAAAAAATAGCCAAGCGTTGTGGCAGGCACCTGTAGTCCCAGCTATTCAGGAGGCTGAGGCAAGAGAATCACCTAAGCCCAAGAGCTGGAGGTTGCTGTGAGCTGTGACGTCACGGCACTCTACCGAGGGT